CAACTCTATAATTTGATCATTTATCACCTTTTAGTCACCACTAACTACATTTAGTAAATGAGAAGGACTCTCCAACCTCCTGCAAGGTAGGCCTATGTTATTCTACTATTACGGGGAGGATGTTTATTAAGGCCCATCACAATGACTCAGCAGCTGAATTTCTAACCCGAACAATTTCAGACAATTACTTTCAGGCATCCTTTATAGCCAAATGCAGAACGCATTGTTAAATTTCCAATGACACTGAGAATAAGTGCAGATACATTAAAATTTCTTCTTTTTTTCTGTGCACTCGATAATAAAAAAACTCTTTAATTTGGATTGTTAAGAGAAATGTTACCTCCAACCCCTAAATCCACAACACAGCAGAAGAATGATTACCATTTATCAGCTAAAATGGAGACTGAACGGCTGATTTAAACAGAGTGCACAGATATAAACATGTTATCTGACACATTTTGTTGTGCTTCTGTATGCAGGTTGAATAAAAAAACTTACCTTTAAAAAAATTAAAATACATACGCTTAGTATCTTTTCTTAACTTGTTTAGTACTATTAAGTAAACTGAATACAGTATAGGCATATTTAGGCCTAACATTAATCTCTCAATTAAATCAATGCTTTATACTAAATATATTGAATTAAAAGAGTATTTCCAAGCAAATAACCAATTTCATTATTCAAATATGAATACTGTACTTAGAATGTCATCCTCCTCTCAGGTAACTGAATGGCACTGATTTGATCACTATCAGACCTTTTGTCTGCTACTCTGTTTTTGTAATGGTGCACCTGAATCACAACAGAGTGAAACAGCAAAGTGTAATATTAGGAAAGAAGAGAATCACTTAGTGAAAAAAGGCCCTAATATTCCTACACATTGCCTCACAAAGAATGACAAGGCCATTTACATGGGGATATTTTAAAGACATTCCATTTATAGTTAATGCAGAGTGGCACAGAGATTCAAGACTTGGCAGCAATGAAATAATGTAAATGCACTTATTACTTGTGAGTAAACATGGTTAAGTGATCAAATGCACACACCACTGTTTAGAAAAAGACAAAGCATCAGGATACAATTTCCATGAAACAACCAAGGTAAATCTACCTTTTTTGCTCTAATCAATTTAAACCCTGGATTAAATCAGTAATTCTAATTGGTAAACTTTGTCTGCCAGTCACATAAAGGAATCAGGCAGCATCAGGGGCCAGGGTCAGCCCCCCAAGTGTGCAGACAGACATGCTGACTTTGGCTTCTGAGAATACACAAACTGCTGCCACTAATGTCCTTCAAACCCATCCTTCCAGCCAGAAGGGCTAGAAACATGATCTCCTATTAACACATCCACCATGATGGCTTCTTTGCCCACTGTCAAGCAGTGCGGGCCCGATCTTTGAAGGACGGCAATGGCTACTTCAGGCTTGGGCTGACCCTGCTGGCATCATGATCTGGTGCTGCATGCCATTTTTGTGAAACAGACACTGGAACAAGGAGGCCCAAATTCAGAAAGCTAAAGAATGAAAGGAATCTGCAGAAAAATTAAGGAACTCGACTATGTTGCGGGAAAGCTGTAACAGTGACTTTGAGCCTAGCATTTACACTGTTGTCTGTATGTTCAAAAGCAATTCTACCACGCTATGGTGCAAACGTGTCTGTTGCCCATCTTTCTGAGGAGGAAGAGCACAAGGAGACACTAGCGTATCTTGAATTCCCCCCTTCTTCACATTTTAAACCTACATCTTGAAGGTGAGGCAGACAGGACTACAAAGCTTCTGCAGGGAGGGGTGGGGAAGGCAGAGTCCACACCTTGCTCCATCTTGAGACAAGTGACCTTGAGGCACAAGCCGTTCCCAAGAGCCCTGCAGTCTTGAGTCTGGAGCCTTCCGCGGCTCATAAAGATAGCTCAGCTTCCGTTGTGAAAACTGAGGCCCAGGCTTATTGGGGAAAGGAGTTTGTACAAAAAGGTCCGGTGCTGTTACACGACTGGTTTGGATTCACTGGAAAAAGAGCAGCAGTAGACCTTTGGGGACTTGTTTCGCTGGAGAAGGCTCCAGACAAAACACAACATCCCCGTTCCAGCTGGTATTAAGTCACACAAATCATACATTCATGTCCACTGGTCAATCAAAAGACAATGCTCTCTTTTTTTACTGACTCAACCAACCGCCCACAAAGTCTGCTTTTCCCTCCAGATGGCAAAGCATCCAAGATGCAGAATATCAAGGGAGGTCTAGCAGGTGGAAGTGGCAAAAATCCATCAGAGGCTTTACTACCCAGGGAAAACGACATCCCTATAGAAACATTGCTGCTGCTGCTGCTACAATCTGCCGCATACCAGGCACGGCTAATATGCCCATGCAAGGGAAAGCGCATGGTCTGGAATTTAAAAACAAAACCTGCAACGTTTTTTTTTCCTGAGAAAAGGCCGTCTATTACCCAGCTGCAGTGCTTGATAAAACAACACTATTATATTTGTCAGGTAGGGAGACTGGTAACAACTCATCCTCTTTAAAAGCACAGTCCACCTGGCCTCTATTTTTCACTCTGTAGAAGCATCTGCAGTGCAGGTTTTTTTGTGTTTTGTTTTTTGGCAAAAGAGAAGGTCTCCTTCCAGCTCCCTGAAGGCAGGCGAGAGATACGAACCTGTCATTTCCCGGGCTATTAGAAAGGCGGGGGTGGGAGTGCATTTAAGCTAGTCACCGCTTTGTCTGGTGTTCTCCAGCTGTCAAAAGCGATCACTGCAGGACTATCTGGCACAGAAGCAGCCTTTTAAGACAGACATTGCTAAGCATCTCTCTCTCCTTCAATTCCCCCCCCACACACATTTATTTTTCAAAGGACGACCACTCTCCACCACAAGCTTAATGTCTCAGATGGGAATTCACGACAGAATAGAAGTCCATCAAAGGTAAGAACGGTGACAGACTGTCTGCCTTGGCAAAAACAGCACCTTCTTCAGCTTGATCGCCTATGGAGAAATAGATCTAGAAGTAGAAAAAGAGCCCTCCTCCAAAGCAGAGAAAAATGGCTGCTCAATGAGCTGAGCCAAGAAGCACTTTCTTAAACCTACTGATCAAAAATGGAGTAACCAAAAAAAACACACCTCTTTCTTCCCCATCTCCAGGGGAGGCAACGTTATTTTCCCAACCTCCACCCCATCTGGTGTTTTTCAAGCACTTAGGAAGAGCTTGGTCACATTTCAAGGCGTTCAGAAAAGATACAATAGCCACAATGAGCCACTGCAGGCACCATTCCTCCTTAGCATCAGGGAAGGGTTTTCCCTGAACCTTTATCTCCAAGCGTTCTTCCTGGCATCGTGCGGAATGATAAAAGCTGCAAAGCATTTGAAACGGTGGATTAGGGAGAACGGTGGGAGGCAGCCCACCATCATGTCCCAAAAGGCTGTTTCATTCGGTTTCCCTTTGGCCATTTCTTTCAACAACTGCAAAACCTCAAGCGGCACACCGTTGTTAAGACCTCCCTCTCACAACGCCATTTCCAACAATACTGTCACAAGACCTCTCCAGATTGCTTCGGAGCCTGGGTCTGTGAACTCCTTCAGGATTTCTACAGCACTAACACCACACCCAGAGCGCATTCCCTCTTATCTTGGGTTTTTTTCCATCCAATCATCCTATAATGAAAATCCAAGGAATTTAACCTTCCTGCACTCCACCTCCGCCATATGTGGTCTTATTTGCAAACTAGCCTTCATGTATCTTGCCCATTCATTCCTCTGCATTTTACATGAATTTTGATGTCCCCCCCTACAAACTACCTGTTTTGAATGACTTCCCACCTTCCTCCCTAAAGACATTTTCTTCCACAATAAACGTAACAGCCACACCTTCCCTCCTCCTTGTGCTCCACCCAGTCTTGACTATCACTCCCTAACTCATACTCCTTTCTTCACCCCTTTGTTCCTCGGAGATAATCAAATACCATTAATTGCATCTTCGCAGTATAATGTGTCAACTTTATACACAGAACGCATCTCTTCTTCTACAAGCTGGTTATTGAAGGGCGAAAAGCTTCAAGGCCAAGGGAAGATCTTTCTCCACGATGTTGCCACCACTATCTCTATTGGAGTATTTCCCAGAAATAACACCATCGTCTGCTTTCAGATGTAAAACAGCATTCAATACAATTCAAGAAAGATCACCCCCTCCTATGAAACCTGCCACAATCAAATCATTATTTGGTTTGAACCAAACAGGTAGCTCTAACTCACCCAATTAATTTTGTAACAATAGAGGCGAATTTTCTTCCAAGCAGCTGTTTTTTGGATATTGCCCCCCCCTTACTTGTCCCTCCTTTTTTCTCACCAAAGTCTTCCGGGCTCCACCATATGGGACTGATCCTTTTGCTCCCCTGAGGGAGGATTCTGTATAACTCGAAACCCTGAGGCACCATCAAATTTGCCAAATTTTGTAACACTTCTTACAAAATATCTTTTTCCAGTTTCAATAAAGGGGCTAATTTTAGCTGCCCGCTAAAGCAACCACAATAGCTACTTTTCAAAATCTTCTTTTTTTAAAAAATTAAACCCAATACCCTAAAGTACCAAATTACCTTAAAGTTTGCGTATTATTAAAAAGTGAATAAAGGTATTACCTGGCTTTTATCAAGGGACTAACTGCCACTGTAACCCCTGCTTAAAGTAAGGCGTTGTTATTTATGGCTGGTTCTAACTAGAGGAGGCTTCGTGCCGTTTTAAAACTGACCTACCTGGGCTGAGGTAAAGTTAAACAATTAATTGATTTTTAACGGTTCGATATGTTCCAGGGAGGGTTAAAAACTTCCCTTTTCATTTTTAAACATTATTAAGTCGCCTCGGGTTCTTTTCCAGGAGAAAGGCGTGAACAAAGCAAAAATAAATGAATTAAAGGGGCTTTCCCCCCCCCGCGCTCCCAGGCTGTTCCTTTCATCAGCAACCACTCCCCCCCGTCAACCGGCTGTTCCTCTCTCGGAGCCCCCTCCTCCTCCTCCCCCTTACCAGCGCAAGACTGGGGGGAACCTGCCCCTTTGACCTCTCGTCCTCCTGGTTCCGAGGAGCCACCCCCAGCGGAGGAAGAAATATACGGGGACTGGGTGGCCGGCTCAGCCATTTTCGCTTAAGAATACGACCAAGTCACCGCGGAAGACCGATCTCTCCCCCCAAGCGTGCGCCTCCCTCAACGGACAGGCACCGACTGACAAGTCTCAGGCAACGAGGGCGAACTGCGCAAGCGCAGGGATAGGGGCGGGGCGGGCGTGTCATGCGCAGGCGCATTGTGAAGGGGCGTGTCCCAACGGCTGCTTTCTAGCGCAAGCGCAGTGAGGTGGGGAGCTTGTAATCGAAGATTCTACAGTACTAGGTCTGGAAGAAAAATACTGTAAGACTTTTCAGGCGCACTCTCGCAAAGCATTTCGGGACACCCCTCTGCGGCCTGTAAGTATGGTTTGGGGCTGAAGTTCGGCTCCTTTCCGATGCGAGCTACTGAGCATGCGCCTCAGCCTGACCGCTCCCGCGCGTGGCCGCTATGCTTGTGGCGTTAGACGAGCGCGCGGTCAGGCGGAGGGCCGGCTAGTGCGCCTGCGCGGTAGTCCCTGCTGTGGCCTCGAATAAAGCGGCTAAAGAGGCGCGGGCGGCGCAGTTTTTGTGTTGTTTCCTCAGTTGGCCTCTTGGGTCACGTTTTGAAAGTTTAGGAAAAACACGCGGAAGGGAAGTCTGTTTCTTTTACTTTCCGCTTTGGAGAAAGTTGTTTGGAATGA